GCTTCTAGTGAACAAACAAGAAGGAAGCTGCCAAGTCTTTTATGACCTCACCTTAGAAGCAACACAGTATCACTTTTGCTATATTCCTTTAGTAGTAGCCCCAGTTCTGCCTAGATTCAAGGCCAGGGGACATAGACACCACCTCTTGATAGGAAGACAGGCAAATAATTTGGAGGCATGCTTTAAAACTACCACAACAGGTGAAGAAGTGAAGACTTGAAGACTTTGTCAAGGTCACCCATTGCTCAGCTTCAAAGTGGAGGAATTGAGTTAAGAATTGCAGACTTCCTTCTCTCTCCCCTCTTCCTTTGGTGTGTATGTGGGGTGGAGCACCCTGCAAGTAACATTTTAGAAAGACGGACTCCACTCTGCCCAGGATGAACTGTATATCTCAGGAGATAAGGCAGTGCAAGTGTTTCCCTCCACTCCAGGTTAAGGTGAGGGGCCTCTAGTTCTTCACTGCTCACCCTCTACCTTCCCACTTTCATACGAAGGGAATCTAGTTGGGAAGAGATAACTAAAAAATTACTATGGAATATATTTCAGAGTAGGAGTAAACAGACCTCTCCCAGGTTCAACAGGTATGGTCCAATCTTCTGGAAACACTCAAATTTTAGAGTTTTGAAGTCATCTCCAGTAATTAATACATTCATATTTTTGTATTATATTAGGTGATAAAGGTGTTCATTAAATGTAAATATTTATTTAAAATATATCAATATTTTTGAAATATTTTACTATCTTAGGATCCTTTAAAAATGTGAACTTAGGTCTTGTCAGGCCTCTGAGAAGTCCTTTCTGACAAGGCAAGTTGGAAAAGACTAGGTAGAAGCAAATTTATACATCACTCAGGGGAGAAAGGGATCTATCACCAACCCCTATTCCAGTGGTTCAAGTTGCAGGATTGGGGGCTGAGTAAACTGATTATTAATGCCAAGGAGAAGCTGAGGTGATCTCTCTTCCCAACTCATTCCACATCTGTTACAGAGGACTAGCAAAGAAGAAGCAGGGAGCTGGGTCCAGGCTTAAGTGTAAGCTTTGGTTATTTATGAAAATAATTAGGCTGGTGCGGTAGGTCGCACCTGTAATCCTAGCACTCCAGGAGACCGAGGCGGGAGGATCTCTTGAGGTCAGGAGTTCGAGACCAGCCTGAGTAAGAGTGAGACCCCATCTCTACTAAAAATAGAAAAATTTGCTGGATATGGTGGCGCATGCCTGTAGTCCCAGCTACTCGGGAGGCTGAGGCAGGAGGATTGCTTGAGTCCAGGAGTTTGAGGTTGCTGTGTGCTAAGCTGATGTCATAGCACTCTAGCCCAGGCAACAGAGCAAGACTCTGTCTCATAAAAAAAAAAAAGATTCAACCCATATCAGTAGGGTAGAAATGAGAGAGTTTCAGGAAGAAAGATGATACAGTTTCCTGGAGATGCCCAAGATTTTTTCTTGGGGATGCTATGGTAACTGCAGGTGCAAGACAATAAAGTATAACAACTGTCTTCTCCCACCTGATGGTGAGCCACTTGGGGGCTGGTAACCCTGTGTATTCCCTATTTGCCTGGGTTTTAGCCTAGACAACATCCTTGGCACACTATAAAACAACCCCTGCTGATTGAGAAGGTTCATAGTTTGCATAAATCTCAAAGTGACCCCTGAAGATTCTCTCTGCTTTCCGGACAGAAAACTATGGAATCCTTAGGAAGAGCATTCTCAGCCTGGTTGGAAGAGGCTAGGTCTCTTCCAGCCTCCTGTTTTTACTGCCTGACTCAATACCCAGGCAGCTATTAACAATTGCTGTATAACATCCATAGAACATACCACTGCCCCATCCCCCGAAAACCTCTTACCAAGGGAAGGGGGAGTACAAATGTGCAGGGAGCACAGAATAGGGAACAACCCAATCTCTCTGTCACTGCCCCTTCACAAACACCAAGAATACACCTAAAAAAATTAAAGTAATTGAGAGGGCCAAGACTGTATTTTAAATTTGTGCCCTACAGATAGGACCCTATTTTCTAGGGTCTTTAGGATGCTCACCAGATTTTATCAAATTTAAGTGTTTAAAAAAACCTAAATGAGCTTTAGAGGCAGAAATAGAATGACTTATTTTCTAATCACAATGTAGCAAAACCAAAAATTAAGAGTAAAATGGCAACATTGTACAGCTCTTGGGTAAAAGGAATTATAATGAAAATTACAATAACAATTTTGAAATAATCAGTAAGAGCATTATATACAAAAATCATGGAATGTGACCACAGCCATACTTAGGGAAAAAATCCATGGTTTTAAATGCTTTTATCGTTAAACTACAAAGAATGAAAATACAATATGCTGGATATTTATCGAAAGCTTACACTGTGTAGGGCCTGAACAAAATATATTTCATTTAATCTTCATAGTACTTATGAGTTGTGTACTGTTTTTTACCCTTCATAGTAGTTAGGAGGTGGGTAGTATATTTTGTTCTTATCTTTTTGAAATGCTCAGAAGTATAATTAGGAATATTCACGCAATGTTCTAACTACCTTATCTGTTTCCAAGAACTATTTCACATGTTTGTTGATTCAATGCCACAAATGTTTATTAATGCTTATTATATATAGGGCACTGTAACAAAGAGATGAATACTAGATGTTCTCTATCCTGTAAAAATCTAGTCATGCGTGTTTGATATAGATGGAGGGGAGGATGGTACTCATATTAAGATTGCAACTAACACTACTTGCTAAAATTGAGTGTAGTAAATGCTAAAGATAATGCATAATCACAACACCATGGTTGCAGAGAGCAAAGTGATGCCACCTTGGGATGGTGACAGGAATCAATTGCCATGCTTGTTGCCACTGTTTAGGGAAGCAGCTCTAAGTTGTTCAAACAAGTAATTAATGCAGGCGAAGCAGGAAGAGCATATACATTTCCACTTTATTAAAATATTGCATAAATACAGAGCAGTTGGGCACATCCATTCTAAGGCACTGTTCTGGTTTGAATGCAATTCCACAAGAGAGAAAAGAGAAGCCATTACATTCGGTATTTTTCATCTCTACATTCAGACTCCTCCCATATTACATGTTTATTGCTACTGAGATCTCAACTTTAACCCCAGACTTATAGCAGCATGATATAGGGCCCTGGATGACAAGAATTACAGACACATCCTGGGTCTAGCACTTAATATGATTTGGCACTTAATTACAAACTCTCTTGCATTGCTCTCCATTTGTTTCCCAACTTTTGTTTAGCTAAAGATATTATAAATTCTTTATGACCCTGACCCTTGAATTATATTTCTTTACTAGATTTCATTAAGCCTGGAACAGGACTAGTTAGACACATAGTAGATAGTCCCAAAATATTTATATGGATATCACTTTCAAGAACTTCAATGGCATAGAAGAGATATACTTTCCCTAATTGTAGTTCAAGGAAAGGACGACTAGGTATCTATTCATAAAGGAAAAATGCTTGAATGCCCTATTTCTTGTATTTTTTAACAAGGAACTAGGCCCAATGAATATTTTCACGTGTTAACAGCTTTAATTGACAATGAGAATTTTTCTTTTGCTACAGAAATTTGAGTTGTTACTATAATTATATGAGAATATATAAGTAGCAACATGTATGTGTGTGTGCATGTGTGATTATAAGTACAATTTAAAGAGGTTGAGAATCACTGGACAACTTATAAATTATCTGAATTAGTGACCCTCACCTCCTTCAAATGATATGTGTATATGTGTGTGTGTGTGTGCATGTATATGTATATTATACAAAAGATATATACGTTTAAAGAATTTTTCATAACACCCTTAAAACAACTGGAAATAACTAGGCTTGGGAGCAACAGGGCTATAGTGAAAGTTATAGAAATATTTGTTTAAGGCAGTGTGTTCCAAGGGATATCTACAGAGTACTAGTTTTGTGGGTTATTACTGGCTGTACATGGAAAAGGTTCTGGGATCAAATAAGTTTGGAAAACACTGAGCCAAAAGAGGTACTTTTTCTCTCTTTACTAGAGGACCTTTCGGAGATTCTCATGTGCTGATATGCACTATGAATCTAGGAAAGGGAAACAGGAAGCAATTCCCAAACTTTTTTGCAGAATGCCTTGTAGCACTAAGCATTCTATAACACATGCTTAGGGAGACACTGAATTAAAGAATGGGTAAAATTTAAAAAGCAATGAAAGACTCATGATATTGAATACCAAAGGAGAGTGAAAAGCAATGGACGCTGGTTTTCCAGTCAATCTAAATAAAATTAGGTTCTATTAATATTTGTACAACTTCAACTGTCAAGTAGATTCTTCCAGACATAGAGCTTACTTACTCTGTGAACAAAATAAATTACCAAATTAACACTCTGCTTTAAGTAGCATTACCACAAATTGCCAACTAAGCAGACTAGCAAAATTCATAAGTGAAGGTTAAAATCTTAATTTCTTTAATCATAAAAAATTTCAATAGAAATAACCCAGTTCTTACCAGGAAAATGACATCTCTTTCATCATTTTGTCCCTGACACATTTTTATTGTTTGACAAAATTTACTGTCTCTTTGCCATGTGGGGCACATCTAAAGTTTTGAATGAATATAATCATCTTTAATAATGACTGCAGAATAATTATGGTACTGCTATAACAGCTATGTCATATAAACAGGATTACCATTATATCGACCCTACTCCTGAAAGGATTGTCATTATTTATATGCTTTATGCTTATACCTATGATACGGTTGTGTTGGAACACAAAATTTTTCATTGTAATAAAAAAATAAGAGTTGTGCAGACAGAATAAATCAAATCTAGGAAAGCTGCAAGGTTAGGTAGATGCTACAGAACTTACATGCCCTGGAAGACAGGTTTTAAGAATAGCAAAAAAAGAAAAAATAAACTGTTCTCATAAGTTCAAACAAAAGCTTCCAAGACAAACCGGCTGCTGCAGGTTAAGATTTTTTTGAGTTTGTGTCAATTTCTGTAGGACCTGCTTCCCTTAGCAATTCTTAAAGCAATCCTTTAAAGTGAGTTACTTGGTGCATAATAAGGCCTGCTCTCTGTCTGAAGCTTTTAGAACAATGAGTGCACTTGTATGGCTTCTCCCCTGTATGGATTCTTAAATGAATAACTAGGCTTGGTCTCTGTCTAAAGCTTTTCCCACAATAATTACATTTTAAAGGTCTCTCTTCAGTATGCGTTCTCTGGTGCAAAGTAAGAGCTGTCAGTCGACTAAAACTTTTCCCACAATTATGACATCTATGAGGTTTTTCACCTGTATGAGTTTTCAGATGTCTTTTAAGACTCGATCCATGACAAAAACTTTTCCCACACTCAAGGCATTTATATGTTTCTTCTTCAGAATGTGTTCGCTGGTGTCCGATGAGGTGTGACCGCCGAGTAAATCGCTTTTTACATACAGTGCATTCATAAGGTCTCTCCCCTGTATGAAGTCGTTGGTGTCTATAAAGGTCTGAACTACGAAGGAATCTTTTCCCACATTCAGGACATTTGTGAGGTTCCTCTCCTGAATGAATTATCTGGTGCCCTGTAAGTTGTGACTTCCGAGCAAAACATTTTCCACACTGAGGGCATTGGTGAGGTTTCTCTCCTGGACTCTTTTTCTTATGGGATGTAGGGTTGAGAGGTTCTTCCACGTTGGAGCTCTCAGGTGTCTCTCCTAGAGGGGGGTTCTGATGCTCTACAAGTTTAGTTAAATCTGTCTGTAAATCCTCTGGGGGAGGTTCCCATTGGTTTTCTAATTGTACATAGTCTTTTTGCAAAATGGGACCGTCGAGAGCATTCCCCTCTACAGTTACAATAAATGGATACATACTCTCCAGTTTTTTCTGTTTTGAAGGATCTTCTTCATTTTCTATCCCGATCTCAAAACCTGAGAGAGGAAACAGAAATTGCAGATGTCATTGTGTTCCACAAAAAAAGAAAGTGAGGGAAAACGAACAGTTACATTAAACCACTAGTAGGAATACAGGAATTCCTAAATAGAATTCCAAACTCTTTACCCTGATTAAGGTTGAATTTTTCTTTTCTTTCTTCCCTAGTATATCAATGAACAATTACTTACCTATCTTGGAATCAAGTAATTGTTTCATTTCTTTGGACTCTTGTAATTCCTTCACCCACGGCTCTTCTCTATGCTCCAATGGGAAGTTCACGTCAAGCTTTGGTAATGGATATCCTGGCCATAAGAAAGATGGGAAGCATGGTAGTTTGGCTCATCAAAAGTTTTCCCAAAATTTAGGCTGATTTCTTGGACACGTGGCCTCTTCATATGTACTTTCTTCTCAATTACTATTATTTTACCCAGAGTCTCTTACAAGAGGCTTTTTTTAAAAAAAAAAAAAAAGATAAGAACAAATTGCTCAATTCAAGGCTAATCTCTAGCAATATTTAGCAGTAGTTGTATTTTTCATGTGAAACTTGATAATCTCAGAGATGTTTGTAGATCTTAAAAAAAAAAAAAAAGATAAGAACAAATTGCTCAATTCAAGGCTATTCTCCTCTAATCTTTGGAAGGTGGGTGAATCAACTGTGTGCTGAAATCAGTGCACTAAATCACTTCTGCATCTATTTTGATAATAGATTTATTTAGGTCAGAGCTAAAATATGAAGTAAATCTTCATAACATTTTGGCATATTTCTTCATAAAGTTTCAACACTGCTATTGAGTGCCAAATGAAGAGAGAGGTAAAAGTAGGAGTTATGAAACTGTTTACTGGAATAATTTCAGTTAAGACTTTCAAATTAAAGGAAATTGAACTGGGCTGGCAACCAGCAAAAACAGTCTTTATGTTTGTTTCAGTTGAAGTCTAGAAGTAGAGTCTCTTAAAATTAGTCCAAATGACTATCAAACAGTATTTTTAACTGTCAGTCTAAGGACAACCAGATGAAGTTTCTAACCACACACTCTCCCCCAGTCTGACCACCCCTGTCTTCACTGACAGCCACTGTGGCTTGTGTCTTCTTTTCTATGCCTCTCCCTCTCCTTCCTCCTCTGTGGCCAAGTTTATTGGTCTTCAACGAAATGTGGGTTGTAAACTACTGATTTGAGATCCAAACATAGGCTGATGATTAAATATTAACATTATGAAAATGACATTAGGAATTTAGTTTGACTAGTAATAGTCTGAAGGAAAATTTAAATTTCAGAACATTCTATCAAGACACAGGAAGTGGACTAAAATACCTT